CGGTAGTGACCCCCCCCGGTTTTCCAGAGGGGGGGGGGGGTGAGGGGTTAGGGGAGGGGGGGGTTTTGCCGAGGGGAGGGGAGGGGGGGGGGGGTTTTCGGAGGGGGGGGGGACCCCCGGGTTCCGGAGGAAGAGGGGGGGCAATTTATCACAGTAAAGCGGCGGTGGATCACGCTCTCTCCCAGATCTGCCCGTCTAGTTCTGCCACGTCTTTTCTGCTCCTAGCCCCCTCCTGCTACTTTCTGTCGTGCTCCATCTTTTCCCTCCACCTTCCATCCCTCCTCTCTTCACTTGTTTTAGACGCTGCGCTGATTGCACGTGGCAGGTAAGGAAGACATACCCCAGGGGGGTACGATCGAAGACGAAGAGGGCGGGTACCGAGGGCTTGGGATATGCTTGGTGAATGGCACGCGAGCATATATGAGCGAACAGTCTTAAATTGCTGTTGTCCTCCTCCCTCCCCTCCTCCTCTTCCTCTTCCGTCTCCATGTGTTGATCAAACCCGACCTTGGCGTACTGTCTCGATGACGGTGGCCTTTATTTCCCATCAAAGTTGTCAAGTTGATACCCTGGCCGCCGCAGCATCTTCCCTGCGGTTCACTCGTGCAGCGGCAAGAGTGAAGCTGCAAGCAGGTGTCTCACATGCGTTTCTCATTCCCCGACTGCCCCGAGCTTGACCGTCTTCGAGACGGCCTAGACCGATGCTCCGCGGGGAAAGTGCCAGCTTGGGCCAAGTGCTGGGGCTCTTGGAGGAGCCACGGAAGCCCTCGCGCTCCCCTGACACCCGGCGCCTGAGCGAATCGAAGCGGCCGGCTTGTCGGACCGTCAGGCAAGCGACTGAGGATGAGAGTGCCAGCCTTGGGGACGGGCGCCGGGAGGTCCGGGTCGAGCAGTGGCGGAGCGTCCTGGCCTGCCCAGGGTGGACATTTTCGGCGAACTGGTTTGCACGAGATGTTCTCAGAACATTTCTGGCCGAGACTGTTTTGTTTCAACACATCGGGTCTATGTTCCAAAAACTCCTGCTGCTGTTGTTGGAACAAGTTGGGGTTCTGAGAACATGTCCTGGTGAGCCTATCAGAATGCAGGGACGGTCGGTCCCTGCTCACTTTGGGGGGCCCACGCATCGAGCCTGTGGAGCCCTCGGATGCCTGGGCCCCCGCCGTTGACCCCTCCGAGCGACGCCGACGTCTGGAAAGAGCACCCCCGCGCGGACGCCCGCGGCGCAAGCCGTCGGCGCTGTGCCTGGGGTCTTGGGGCCGGCGGGCCAGAGCACCCTGCCGAGGCATCTCCCGAGGTGCCTCTGGAGCCGCCTGGGCCTCGGCACCCGGCGTGTCGGCGGCTCGATGTTCGGAAGCACTGCGCGCAAGCAAGAGTGACCCTTCGCCGGAGTGACCTTTTGGTGCGGGCCCATTCGTGTTTCCCCCGATCCCCGAGCGCGAGGCGAGAAGTACAGCAGCGTCCTTGAAAGGGCTCGTGCCTTGGCCCCCCCGCCGCCCCCCAAGAAGTCGCGCGCCAAAGGCCACCCTTACCCGGGGTCGCTCTTGCGTGTAGCCGATGTGTTGGACATCGGGGGCGGAAAAGAGGGGGGTGATGACTAGGGGGGGGGGATATCATGGCGCGGGCCATGATTTTTCCTCAGATTTCATGGCGCCTCTCCTCATTCCATTGCGTCCCTGCCCCCCCGCTGGGCCGCGCACATGCCGCCGGTCACGATTTGCACCCCCCCCCCCTTGGACACCCCCCTCTTGGCCGCTCCCGATGACAGGCGTGGCGCGCCCCGCCTCTCGCCGACGCTCGGCGGGCGGGGCCTCCTTCACCCCTCGTCCTCCGCGGCCGCTCCAGTCTTCTCCGCCCGCTCTGGCGCGCCCAGTGCCCCGCGCGACCCGTCGGCTTTGCAGGCACGCTCGCGTCCGCCAGCGCTGCGAACAACGCGTTTGGCAGGCATGGCCGCCCGGACCTCTTCGACCCCCTCCCCCAGGGGCAGCCGCCCACTGGAAGTTCCACCGTGCCCCGCCGACGCTTTCCCGCGCGTCCCCGATGTGTGGGCCGCAAGCGCCTGCGCAGCGGCAGCGCTGCCTGGGCGCGCGCGCGCAGCTCCCAGGCAGCACTTCCGAGGCCCGTGCGCGGCCCAGCTTATACATCGCCGGATCCGGAGCAGATCCTTCTCAAACAGCCCCAGGGCCCGACCTGGGGCCTTGATCTTCCCGCGTGGGGGGACCTGGCCTCTCCCCCTTGGCGCGGTCCTGGCTCGGCTCTTCCCTCGCGGCACCTCCCCAAGCTTTTGCCGCAACATGCAATGCCTCGATAAGACGGGGGGGGCCCGCCTCGCCGTCGGGATCCGATCGCAGCCTGGATCCACACAGGGCTCGATCCCTTCCCCACGGACACGGCTTCATCTCCAGCGCCTTCTGGACGGTCCCAGGGCCCGGCAGCACCGCCGCCAGGGGCCAGCACTGGCCCAAAAACTACCGCCGGTGTGATGTTCACTGCTCAGGAAAGGACAGAAGCACACAGACACAATTCATCGTCGACTCCCAGTAAGATATGGGAAAGTATGGGAAGGGGGGGAGAAGACAAAAACCCAGAAACTATGCGAAAAGATTGGGAATCCTGTTATTTGTGTGTATTTATTTGTGTGTCCCAGGGCCCCTTCAACTGCGCTGGGTGGTCTGGTCTGGGGGTCCCGTCGACCCCGGACCAGGCCGTGCGCGGTGGCGAGAATTTCGCGACGGAGCAAGCCGCGGCTAGGAGAATGCTCCCACATGCCCAAGAAGGCCAAAACACTCAAGAATCTCAATCCACCTGTCCTCCTCCTGTCTTCCTCTCCTGTGCAGATGGGTGGGTTGGTGGGCTGACAACTACTTGCTGTCGTTCTGTGGCCCAGGCTGTGTCGGCGAGCTGGCGTCAGCTCTCTCGCCGACGTTGCCTGGATCGTCCTCGCTCCTAGTGGGAGCTGTACTCAGAGTTTTTCGCGGAGACCTTAGGGTCCTTCCCTGTACAGAGGTCAAGGAATAATGTGAGGCTCAGGCAGGCCTAGGATATGTATCGAACCGGAGCGTCCCCGAACGTTCCCAGGGCGTCCCAGAACGCTGCGGAACTGGCCGCGGCATCCCAGATTAGTACGACATCCCGACCCTCCAGCTCTCAGAGATCCCCGTGTTACTATTTTTGTTTTTAATTGTCCTCGTCTCCGCCACCAAAAATAGCTACACAGACACCCTTCATTGGATTGTTCCTGGGCCTCAGGGGGGGGGGGCGGTATATTATAATCCATACTAAGAGCCAGCGACGTTATGCACCGCTGCCTTTCCCAGAGGGACATGCAAAGTTCATCGGAGAGTGTCTGTGTATCCAATTCCGTGGCGCATCATCTTGCCAACGTCTTAAGGGAGGCACAGGCTCGGGCGGTAGGGGGGGACGTCGACTCCAAAGCACCCACGCCGACCATCCATGCTCGACGCGGGGTGTTCCAGAAAGGGCCCACTCTACGAGGGACTCGTTCTCCCATGCCCGCCGGCTCCCAGAGATCCCCGATCCTGAGATCAACGGTCGATCCATGACCCTGCTGTAGCCCCCCGTTTGTGGCCGCTCGTGGAGTTCGGGCGTGAGCAGGGGTGTGGATACAGCGTCGGTCGCCTACCGATTCAGCCTTGGCGCCGAACTCACATCCTCACCTCCGCCTTCGCCTCAGAGGGCGGGAAGCTTGGGCCCCAAGTTCTCTGCCCAGCCGCGCGCCTCGCCTCACCGGCACCAGCAGGTGCGGGTCTACACGGAGGATGTGGCGGCGGCCAACGGCGCGAAGGCGGGCGAGGCCCCCCTCCGCCAGCGCGCGGCCGCAGCGGCTTCAGTGGCGGCGTTCTTGCCCCGTGGTGCTCCTCAGTAGCTGCGCCTCGTCGAGAGCTTCCTGGGGGGGCCCGCGTCGTGCCGAGCGACCGCGGGAGGCCCGAGGCTCACGATTCGAGAGCCGCCGGGCGTCGAGAAGCTGGTGGGGGCAACGGAGCCTCCCAGATGTCATGCCCCCCCCTTCTTCTTTCACTGAGCTCCCTTCGCCCCCGGCTCCTGTCCAAGGCGTACCGTTTCCTGTGCAAGCTCTTCGGCACCGCCTGTACTCCGCACCCTCCGGCCGCCTGAGGCCACGCCCGCCCGCGCCCTGTCTCCCCAATTAGTGTTTCGCGCTGCCCGCCTAGCTCTTGACCGGACGAGGCCCGCTCTCGACCCGCAGACCAAAATGTTTCCCACCCCTTGTCCGCGCACATGCCTCGGCTCATGATGCGGTTCCCCCCCCCTCCCTAGCCCCCCTCTTCGGCGCACCCGCAGACAGCACCTCCCAGCGGTCGCGGGTCGCCAGGGTGCGGGGGATCGAGGGTCGAGGGTCGATCCGCATAGAGGGAAAGCCGGTATGCGAGGCTCGGGTGATGCTCAGGCATGTCTCGGTAATGCGAAGGTGAGAACGTTTCGTTTTGCTGTGCTTTGGTACGCAGTGCAGTGGTCTGCTAAGACTGCTAAGGCTAGGTATTGCCAGGCTAGTGATATGATGGCGCGTGCACGGGCAACCATACGCCGTGGTGTCCCAGACACATGCCCTGCTGGGCCAATGGCATGCGCACGCTACAGTATGAAATGTTGCGTCGTACCGTGGTATACGATTGCGGTTCTGTGATATGCCAGCGTGTGTGTGTGTGTGTGTGTTGTGGAAACGTTTTGCGGTGGCACGCTATTATGCGACATGTCATGTTATGATACGTTGTGCTATGTGATGCCATGATGTCGTACGGTGTGCTACGCCATGCTGCCGGATGGCATGCAATGATGTACCAAGCTTTGCAATGCTGTGCTATGTCGCTTGTTACCCCCCCGCTTCGCCATCAATGCAATCAGCTCCACTCGCTCAAATTGCTTTTGGTCTAAGCCCCGACGTTGCGGCAACGAGTGAGGGGGCGCCCTGGCTGCCTTGCGGGGCGTTTGGTGCTCGAGGACCGCTGTAGAGCAGCCCGCCGTTGGCACCCTGAAGCAGTTTCGCCCGCCGCAGGCGCCGACCCTTCTCACCCAACGCAGCCAGCTTGCCGCCGCCGGCGCATATTGGGTGCAAAGCGATTTGGTTGCTCGCGGGCGCGGGTGTGTCGCGGCCAAGTCGCGGCTGAGTCGCAGTTGGGTCGCAATTGGGTTGCGGATGGGTCTCGGGCGGGTCGCGGGTGGCTTGCAGTGGGGTCGCGGCGCGGGTCGTTGCGTGGGTCGCGGCAGCGGTGGATGGGTCTCGGGCGGGTCTCGGGTGGGTCGCGGGCTTAGTCGCGAGCGGCGTCGTGGGAGGGTCGCGGATAGGTCGCAGTGCGGGCGGCGACGACAGGAAGGGCAGCAACCATGATTCGAGTCATGTCCGCACTTCTTTGCTGGCGGGCCACCCGACATGTATACTCCGAGCCAGCGACCCGCGCCCTCGTCGTCCACGCACGCGGCCCCTCCGTGGAAGTCGTTGCTTCGTGCGAGCTCCTGGGGCGAACATGACAGGTCTAGACACGCCTGCGGGCTGGCGGACCCTTCTGGGCGGGTCGGGCGGGCGGGCTTTCACGGGTCAGTCAGGCGGGCAGACTCTCGCAGACGGATCGGGCTGGCGGGACATCAAAGCGGGCGGGCGGGTGTCCAAGCAAGCGAACGGCGGACCTCGACGGGCGGGTTCTGTGGGCGAGTCGTTCAAACGGGTGGGCCGGGCGGGCGGACCCGAGGATGAGGTGGGGTTGAGCCAGGAGGTTGCTGAGGCACGGGCGACTCGTACAGAGCGCCTCTAAGCAGCCAGTTCACGTGAAGCGGACCAGGTGGGTTGCAGCTCGGAGTCGGATTTTTCGGTGCAGTTTGCAGGCCTGCAGTTCGGCCTTGAGGCTGCTGCGAGGACGGTATCCCATAACAGACGACTTGCACGCCACAGCTAAACAACGGGGCAGGAGATGGAGGGTGAATAGCGGGAGTGACGAGTCAGGACGAGGAGGGGGAGGGTTTGGCTGGAGGATGAGGAGGAGGCTCCCTCTACCCCTTCTCCTCGTTCCCTCTCCTCCTGCCTCATCACTCCTGCCTCACTGCCTTGTCACACCTTTCTCCTTCGCCATTCCCCATCGTCTTCTACACGGTCCGCCTCGTCTTCCACGCCCTACTTGCCATCAATGCGTTTCGTGGGAATCCCCTTTCTCCTCCTTTTCCTCCTCTTCGTCCTCTCCTCTCTTCTCCTCTCCCCTCCTCCTCCTCCTCCTCCTCCTCCTTGTCCTCCTCCTCCTCCTCCTCCTCCTCCTCCTCCTCCTCCTCTCCTCCTCTTCACCCTCGTCCAATTTTCCACGTCCCCTTCCTCCCCGGCTTCCTCGTCCTCTCTTTGCTTCCTCGCCCCGCCTCCCTATTTACTCCTCGCCCTCCGTTCTTCCGAATTGCAGAACGAGCCACAACCCGATTGCCCAACAGCAGTGCGGTCCGTTTTTTTGTGCGGCCCGGGTGTGTGTGTGTGTGTGTGTGTGCGCACTTGCGCGCATACCTCAAAGAGTGGCGCTTTGCCGCTCTTGCTGTGTCAGGTTCGAGAGGGCGAATGCATTAATGGTTGGCCTCTGTATGCTGACCTTTGCAATCGGGTGTGTTTTACCTCGCGCGACAGGTTGGGGTTACCAGTTTTTTGTTGTTATTCTTTTTGGTAAAAAAACTCCCGACCCGCCCGCCAGCCTTGCATACCGCGGCCGCCAGGCCCCGGTAGTCCCAAAAGGCACCCCCTACTAATCCGCCTCGCGTCGTCGGAAAACGACGACGGCAACGATGCCCGCAGACCGCGACCGCTAGAGCCCAGCAGTCCTGATAACCCCTTGTGTCCCGCCAGGCGCCCTCAACGAATGACACTTGGTCCGTTAACAGAACGACATGAACTGCGCAAAAAAACACATATACGCATGACAAGCACAACTATCAGAAGATAAGGCACATGAGTAGCACACGTGCCGAATTAAGTAACACGCCTACAGAGCACACCTACTGAACAATAATGGCGATCATGTGTACTCCGTACATCATGATCACCGGCGCCAAGACTCTACACCAAAAGGTTGGAACACACACGCACACATACAAGCACATTACCAATAACGACTAGCAGTTCACGTAAACCTTGACACGACTAACAAATACAATTTGATGACAGCCGCATTTCACATAAGCAACCTTGTATTCGTAAAGGCCACGCCCACAACAATTGTGCACACTTGCGAAGAGGCATGAAGGGTACACGCACGTGTAATACAGAATGCGCGCGAAAGGAGCATGCATGTAGCACGACGCTCAAACATCGTACGCAAGCACACCGTTCACAAACACATTACATGCTATACTACCTTTTAGACACAACCCACACTCAATGCGTCAAGTCTGACGGGTGACGACCAGCCGTAACTGACGCATCACATTGTAAAGCGTAGCAACGTGCACACGCACACCACATGATCTACCATACACGGCATCAGCCATACCACTCGTAATCACGCGCATGCGTATCACACATACGGGACGTATACACCGATCGCATGTGCATATCACAACTTCGCACATGTCAAGCACCTATGGCAGACGTGCAAGTCGCACTTAACGCACATGCAGAACACACATCGCTAACAGCACTAACGAATCGGCACAACTGCATAACTTCCAACTGGATAGAGATACATTGAATGCGCACTAACAGAACTTGCATACATGTCTCAAGTCATGTCGCATGTTATTGCGTGCACATATCATTCATGAGTCGGTTAACGCCCTTCCCCTGCGGCTCTCTCTCTCTCTCACTGTCCCTACCCCCCGCAAGTTCCACAATGCATTCGGTATCAGTATCTTCTGTTTTCCCTCTCCGACTTCTCGTGGGTGTGCAACAGGTCCCTCCGCGAAGGGGAGAGGTAGCCTATGCTCTTTCCTTCTCCTCCTCCTCGTCCTCATCCTGCTCTCCCTCACTCGTGCTCGCGAGGGTCCCTATGCGAGTGCCGTTTGACCACAATGTTTTACGCACGCTCTAGCTCTTTGGGTATTTTGCGTTCCTCTTCCCCTTGTTCCTGCTGCTCACCCTGTCCAGTCCTCCCCGTCCTCGCCCTCCCACCTCTATCCCTCGCTGGTGCTGTTCAACTCCTGAGATGCTGCTGCGGATCATGCCACTGGTTCTATCCTGCCGCGTTGTCCACGGAGTGCACAGTGTAGTCGAGAGGTGTGGTGGTCGGCCATGTCCTCGACCTCCCGCTCCTCCAAACAGCGTTGAAAAGAACGACACACCATTCATGAAAAGGCGACACAAGTAGCACCCGTTACAGTCGGGGCCCTGAAGAAGGAACCCTTTTCGTTGAGGAGAGGCTCCGCGTTCCTTAAGTGTTGCGCAGCTTGCCTCAGGTTTTCCCTATGTTCTCGATCGGAAATCGAAGTTTAACTTATGGAAAAAAAAGGGCCTCGTTCCTTATTTAGGGTTCCTTAGGTCAAGGCCCCGACTGTACGTTTCTTGTTTTCCTCACCGCGACCACGCGTGCAGGTGTTCAGCGCAATTCGCGCATGAGAGGCCCGCGACAGCTTTCGACGCCACTCGCGGCAGCTCCCGGGAGGGGGGGGGTCACTCAAACCGTAACCGCGTCTTTGATATGTTTCGTGCTCGGCACTGTTCCTGGACTTGCGCTGCCAACTCCACGGCACACCTCCTCGTCCTCCTCCTCCTCCTTCTCCTTTTTGGCGATCTGGGAGTCTGTTAGACAATTCTGTTTGACAGTTCCGCGTCGTGTGAACGTACACGAGGCGAGCCGACAGTCTGCTAGACAATTCTGTTTGACAGTTCCGCGTCGTGTGAACGTTTGTTTCACGCGTGTGTGCTGAACTTGGCATGCAGGTACAAAAAAAACACTCTCCACGACTAGTGTTGGACCTCTGGCCCCCAATTCGACTTGTGTTTCCTTTTAGAGACTTCGTGTACGTACTTGCTTCACCTCTTCCGACTGGCACCTTCATGTACGATGCTGTCGTGGATGTGTGATTCGGTCGTGGATGCTCGTGGCCGCTGTCGGCCATCGCCTCGTGCCGCGGAGACCCGCCACGGGCAAGGATTACGACCCGATCAACCAGATCATCACGTTCGACGTAGGCCAGGAAGAGCAGAAGATCACGATCAAAATTCATCAGGACAGCTCTACCAGCATCAGGTGGACAATCAGTTCGATGGAGGCTGAAGGTCCACATGAGTACACAGCTCTGTTCTCACTCTGGCCCACCAAGGTGTCGCCCGAGCCGTCCTCGGCTATACTGCAGCGAATGACGCAACTGGAGTGATGCCCCCCCACTACGGGCGCGTGCGAGCCTTTAGGGCTTTCGTCGAAACGCAGGCGGGGCTGCCAAGGAGGAGGAGGAGCAGGAGGAGGAGGAGGCGTTCTGCTTGTATCCCACTCCGTGGCAAAGCTGTGCAACCCCGTCCCCGCCTCCTAGTCCGGAGGCGTCCAAGGCGGGCGAGGGGCGGGAGAAGGAGCGAGAGAGGAGGGAAGAGAAGGAGGCAGAGCGATAGGGAAGAGGCGGGGGACATGGAAGGGAGGGCACTTGCTTGGGCCCCCTCTCGTCTTCGCTATGTGCAGCCAGCGCGCGTTCCATTCCGAGGCCAGGTGGTACCAAACGCTCTGGCGTGTCTTACAGTGCTCCCGCTTGTAGCTTGCCCGTGCGCGTACCATCATCGGAGGAGGACTATCCAGGCTTGTCCAGCTCGCGTCCTGTTCTGTTCGGTTTGTTTCGGCCTAGCGGCGAGCTTCGAAGGGCGCCACGCCGATGGTATGTGGTCGCACCCGTCTCCAGAGCGAGAGCCTCTCTATGCAGTCTGGTTGCTTCGGAGAAGTGGCGCTTATGCATTCACAGCTTTAGGGGGCCACACGCGAACGCTACCCCTGCCCCCCACGATTTCTGAGGGGGAGGGGTAGGGTTCGCGTGTGGCCCCTTAAAGCTTTGGATTGCCTTTCCCACGCTCCGTTCCCTTTGCCTCGCGTTCTCGCGTTCCCGCGCCCCTCCCGAGAGCTCGGCCCCTCTCCCTCCCACAAAGCGTGCTGGTGTGGTGCGATTTTGCCGCTCTCGTGCCTGGACGCCTCGACAGCGTGTGCTCTTGGCATCGCTCGGACGTGTGCATTTTTTCTCGGCGAGAACCATCGAGGACCATCCTGGACCATCGAGCAATAAAAGCACGCACGAAACCGAGAAACGCACGGAAAATGGACGTCCGAGCGACGGCATGCTGCGCAACCCTGAGCGAAGCACGCACGCGCCAGCTGGCTCTGTTGACGGTAGGGCCGAGGGCAGCAGCTTCGAAAGGGATGTTAGCAGGTACACGCTGGACGTTGAAAAAGTAGGTAGTTTTGGATTCCCAGATCCCAATGTACTGCAAGCGCCTTCCTATTTCAAGAATCGGCGTGCTTTGGCTGTGTTTTGTTATTCTCTGGGAGGACCTGGACCCAATCTACTACATCCGCCTTCCTAGTTCATGTTTCTACCTACTTCTTGCGACCGGCATGTATTGGAGAGCATACCGCATTCATCGCACACTGCAGTTGTGTTGCCAGATCCAGGACGAGACGCCTGAAGACACGGAGGTCTTCCTGGTGAGGCTCGCTGAGCTGGAGGCCGCGTCTCGCTTCCTCATCGTAAGACGGTGCACGAAAGCGAGCCCACCATGGCCTCTGTCGCGGACGGGTGCCTAATCGCTTTCGGTCGTTTTGTAAACTCGAATTCGTGAAGCAGGCAACGGTGGAGCTGTCTATGACATGTAGCGTCAGGCAGCGGCGTGCTCTCCAACACACGCAGTGCCTCGCCCACCTCGGGGGCTTCAGGGCCGCACCCACGCAGAGGCACCTGCCCAGGGCACCAGGCGCCCTTCAAGATTGCCCCAGGGCCCGTCAAGAGGCTCGAAGAGCGCCCACGACGGCCCGAGTGCGTCCCCAGACGATGTCCCAAGAGGGCTCGTGCACGATTCTGAGCAGACAGATGGGCCGAAGACGCCCCAGGGGGCATCCCAGATGCCCCCCGTCACAGCATGTTTATATTTTCTTGGAGCTCCCCACTTCAGATAGTTCCGAGAGGGCCTCGGAGGAGCCAGAGGGCACCGAAAGGCTGCCCCAAGCCAGAGGAGCCCAGAGCGGCTCCCGGGGTCCCTCCGAGGGACCCAAGGGTCCAAGACCGCCCCAGGATGTGTCAAAGGGTGCGCAGGATATCTCACGGGTGGCCCCGCGAGGGCGCACGATGGCCGCACGGGAGCCCCACGATGGAGGAGGAGGAGGAGGAGGAGGAGGAGGAGGAGGAGGAGGAGGCTGAGGAGGAAGAAGAGGAGAGCAGGAACGAGAAAAGAAGCAAGGAGGGAGGGGGAGAATGGGGAGAATGAGGAGATGAAGGGGGCGGGAGATGGAGGGGAGGTGAGGGGAGGGGGAGAGCGGGGAGAATGGAGAATGGAGGAGGGGGAGAGTGAGGAGGGGGAGAGTGAGGAGGGGAGGGGGGGAGGGGAGATGGAGGAGAGGGGAGGGGGAGAATGGGGGGAGTGGAGAGTGGGGGAGATGGATGGGGAGGTGGAGCGGTGGGGGGGGCCTGCGCACGCCGGCCGGCGGCACCGCTGGTGCGGAGCCCTGCGGGCCCTGCCGAAGGTGGTGAGCCGTGGGCGGGTGGCGACGTGCGGCAGAAGCCAGCAAGCGGTGGCGAAGCGTCCTGGCTCGCCTGTAGCCCTACCAAACAGTGTTCTAAGAACTTCCTGTGGTTCCCACGGAAGGTTCTGAGAACATTTCTGGCTGGGGGGCTGTCTTGCTTTATCACATAGGGCTTAATTTTGGGGTTCTAAGAACATTTTGTGGTAGGACTATAGGAATGCCGGGACGGTCGGTCCCTGCTCAACCTCTGCACAAGGGAGGAAAAATCACGTGGGCCGGACAGCTGGCGTTTGCCAAACGGCCCTGGGCGTTTGTTAAAAGCCCTGCCCTGCTCGATTCCTTCCCTGGGGGCGTTTACCAAACGACTTCGCGTGTCGGGGTGGTTGTTATGGGGGTAGATTGTTTGATTTCTACTCCGCACAAGCGACTGGCCAAGAGCACCCATAGGAATCCTCGTGCCTGTTTTGCGAGTCTCGCCCAGCCGAGCCGAGGATGGCTTCCAGAAGCGCACCACCAACCGGCGAAGCGAAGACAACGAGCGTAATATGTTTTTACTCATGGTTCTACTCCAGAGTTCTGGTGTTCATTCACCATCTTCTTCAGGACAACGACGGCCACGAACACAATGCCCTGTCCCTCGGGGCAGTTTTTCATGTCGGATTCGCTTTTGAGGGTCCTGGGGCCCGAGAGGGGCCATGAGATACCGAAATCCTCGATCCATCCGTGGACGCAGACGGCAACGGCGGCGACGGCGTCGACGGACGCCCAGCAGCACCGCCCAGGGCCCAGACGCAGCGCGAGTGAGGCTTGACGGCCGCAAGTGCAACGTGGTCATCTTCGACTGCGACCACCCAGGCAGAGCCTTTTCATTTCTCATCTTGTTGTCCAGCTCCCCTCGCCATGACCAGGGGTCTTGAGGAGACGAGAGCGGTTCCTGCAGTTCCTCCTGAGTTTTCGGGCCCCCAGGCCCGCTCGCCGGATTGCGGCTCTGGGACTTCTGTCATGCTAACTTCTTGATCGCGTGGGGGGGCAGGAATGGGCTGTACTTTGCACGGCGCAGTGGTGGTTGGATCGCGTCAGGGTGTACGTTCGGCGCGCGTGGGGGGGCAGAACGGATCGTCCGGCGCGGTAGCAAGGGAGGTGGCGCTTACTGAACATTGGAGTTCGCCTCCCCGTCCATCTCCGCAGACGTCGGGCGTATGTTTTTCCACAAACAGTGTTTGCATTTAGGGCTTCTCACTTCTACTCTGAGGAACTGGGCCTGTCTGCCGCTCTGGCGGTTATGTTGTCGCCGTCGCCGCCTCGTCGCCGCCCGTCGTCTGGGCCTGTCTGCCGCTTTGGCGGCTATGTTGTCGCCGTCGCCGCTCTGTCGTCGTCTGGTCGCCGCCCGACGTCTGGACCTGTCTGCCGCTCTGGCGGCTGTTTCGTCATTTGGTCGCCGTCGCCTCCCCGCAGCGGCCTCGTCGCCGCCCGTCGTCTGGGCCTGTCTGCCGCTTTTGCCGCTATGTCGTCGCCGTCGCCGCCTCGTCGCCGCCACATAGGTTGCTCCACATAAATTGCACAATAAAGATTGCACAACATGGATTGCACAATCCATGTATATATACATATTGTATGTATGTTTAAATATGGTGCAAACCTAGGTTGCACCACGCAGGTTGCAACACATGTGTTCTCCTCTTTTTGACAAAATTAGATTCTACCCCCATCACCCCCCCGGGGTTATCCGCCACGCGATTCGATTGTAAAATCATATATGGCCGTAACCCTTCGTTCATTTTCCCGATGACTTCATACCATCCCAGGCCAGCCGGCATCGACCCCTCTCATCCCCCTGTCAAATAATACCATGTGGTGTACATGCGTTGGTCTAAGATGAGCTCGTGGTACGAATCCCTATCAAATAATATCATGCGGGCCACATGCGCGCGCAAGGCGAAATCCTTCCAACACCTTTTTTTGTTCGTAGCGATTCAGCATACAAGCCTCAAAAACCAAATGGTTGTTCACCGAACAGTTTTCGATGTTTTACCCCCTCGCTTTTGCGGATTCCTAGGACGCCCAATACTTTTCAATATTCATGTCCAAGGAGGCCTTCGCGCGCGCACGTCGAACTTGTTCCAACGCCCTGGCGCGCTTGCCAGAGGCACGCTCTTTGTCAAATAATACCATGCGGGGCACATGCGGTGCCCATGCGTTGATTTAATATGAGCTTGTGGTACGAATCTTTACCGAAGAATACCATGTGGGCCACGTGCGCGCGCGCAAGACATGCGGGCCACTCTCGCGCGTCTGCCGCGCGCGCAGTTCGAATTCCTTCCGGAACCTTCATCACCGACGCGAAGACGCCGTCGTCTTCGTCGGCGTGATCAGCATCGGCGCCGTCATTGGTTGCCCCCTCGTCGCTGTCAGCATCGTCACGAGCATCGCTATTATCATCATCGTGTCTGCCGTTCTCGGCGTTGCCATGATACCGCGCCCGCCCAAGTTGCCGACTCGCACTGAAGTGCCCGCTGGGATGTGCCGAGCGCCACCGCGTCCGCGCCGGTCGCGCCAAACAAGCTGGCCGCTGCCCGCGCGAGCGTGCGCGGGCTAGCGCGGCCGCGCAGATGCACCAGCCAACACCAAGCACTCATCGCAATCGCTTCCGCATGGGTTTTGCCAACCACGTTGCGGTTGGGTGCGTGGGTGGGGTGATTGCGCGAGCAGTGGAGTTGACAACTTCACGTTCGTCAAGCGAAGTGCACCACACATATATTGCACCACATATATTGCACCACGTGGGTCGTACCACATATATTCTCCTTTCTAAAAGGAGAATAGACTCTACCCCCCCCCGGACTTATCCGTTCCCCTTTCGGGTATGTAAATCATATATGATTCTGACCACTCGTCCATCCTAAATATGAATTCATATTATCCCAGCTAGGCAGGGTTCCCCCCCTGAGGTTCCCTTGTAGAAAACACTACGCGGTGACATTTTTTATTCTAACATAGCACTTTTTCGCGAATCCCTTGCAACAAATGGGACGACGTGCACACGCGAGCGTCGTCGCGCGCGCATGCCGAAATCCTTTAAAAACCTTCGGTGCCGGAGAGATTTCGCAATCGAGTTTCCCAAAAACACACAAAAACACATGGTTTCGCAACACTGATTTGCTAAAAAAACTTCCGCGCGAGCTCTTGCGAAATCTTAAGAAAACCATGGCTTTTGTTCGCGGGCGTACGCCGAAAACCTTCAAAACCCATCGGTTCCGGAAGGATTCCAAAATCGTGCGTCCAAAAAACTTACAAAAACCTGAGGTTTCGCAACACGGATTTTCAACAAAAGCGTGCGCGCGCGCTCTTGCGTCGTCGTCGTCGTCGTCGCCGTCCTCCCTCCTCCCGCGTCGTCGTCGTCGTCGTCGCCTACGTCGTCCTCTGTCTTTTCTCGTGTTCGTCGTCGTCGTCCTCTTTGGCGTCGTGGTCGTTTCCGTCGTCGTTGTCGCCGTGGTCGTCCGTCCTCCTCCTCCCACGTCGTCGTCGTCGTCCGTCGTCGGCGTCTCGTCGTCGGTCCTATTTCGTCACCGTCGTCGTCGTCGTTGTCGTCGTCGTCTTCCCTCCTCCCTCGTCGTTGTCGTCGTCGGCGTCGCCGTCCTTCCTCCTTCGTCGTCGTTCGCGTCGTCGCCGTCCTCCCTCCTCCCTCGTCGTTGTCGTCGTTGTCGTCGTTGTCGCCGTCGTCGTCCTTCCTCCTCCCTCGTCGTCGCCTTTGTTGGCGTCGTCGTCGTCGTCTTCGTCGTCGTCGGCGTCGGCGTCGTTGTCGTCGTCGAAGTCGTCGGAGACGTCGTCGGTGTCGTCGTCGTCGTTGTCGTCGGTGTCGTCGTAGTCGGTCTTAAGAGGTTTTGCAAACCAAGTTGCGGGTGGGAGGGTGGGATGTTTGCGCGAGCAGTGGAGAGGACAGCTTCAAGTTGAGCAAGTGATTGATTGCACAACATAGATTGCACCAAATTTAGTTCGCATCAGCTATTGCAAAGCATAGGTTGCACACCTTAGGTTGCACAGCTTACAGCTTAAAATGCACCGCATGGCTTGCCATACGTGCTACATGTAGATGCATACTGTCCGGTAGTATTTCGCCATCTAGGTTGCACAACACAGGTTGCACAACACAGACCGCACAACATACTTTGCTCAACATAGATCGAACCACAGAGGTTGCACCACACAGTTTGCTCCACACAAATTGCACAACATGTGGGGTGCACCACATATACATTCACAAACATTGCGCACTTGAGATAGCACCGCATCGATTGCCCCATTCAGATTGCACAACATAGGTTGCACCAAACAGATTGCGCTACCTGCGTTGCATCACATCGGGTGTACAACACAGACTGAAACATCTGTCGTTCGCAACATAGGTTGTACCACATATGTTGTGCCACGCAGATTGCCCCACATACAGAACACAGCGCGCATTGCACTAAGCTGTATCACGCACACTGCACCATGACCATGTGTATATTCTTTTTTCTCAAGAGGAGTTAGGGTCCACCACCCTCCCGCGGCCAGATTTATCTGCCCCCCCCCCCAGGGGGATGTGCAACTTACATTGCCCTTTTCAGTTTTTTCCAAACAGAAAAATTCCATAGTATCCCAGCCAAGCTTGTATCGACACCCCCCCTCCCCCTTTTCCCCATATGCATTGCGCGCGCGCTTTTCCATTTTCGCAGATCTTATTTCATTACTTCCTGGCAAGATAGACGGGACGAAGTAGACGCGCTCATCGTCGCGCGCGCGTGCCGCAACGGAGGTGCCGTAATGATGCCGAATTCGAACTTCCCGAACATATGTTAATTACCCTGACGATGTACCCAGCCCTTGCGAAACGTGTGGCCAAAAGGGTTGGGAAGAATATGCAGGGAGTGTAAAGTGGCAAGGGCGTGTTTTGTTTCGAACGCTACTTGGGAGGCTCGCCGCGCGACTCGCAGGGCACGGATCGATGGACAGAGGCTTGATGGAGGTGATTCGTTATGTCAGCGGCTCGAACAGAAAGAGAAGTGCCACCCCAGCAGCCCTCGAACGTGTTTCCATATCGCCCCCCAAAACCCCCCAAAGGGGACTGGCGAGGTCTAATCCAGGTCCGCTGCAGGCACCCATGCTGCTTCCCCCAGCTGCCCTCGATCTGAGTCTGGGTATGGGCCCCCGCTTTGCTGACCCCCCCAGCAAGCCTTCGAAAATGGGGACAGCTTCGCCGATCGCAGCCCCCTTGGGGGTGGCGAGGTGTAGTCTGAAGCAGGACAGGGCCTCCGCTATGCTGCCCCACTTCAGCAGCCTTCGAATGTGGCGGCAGTTTGGCAGATTCTGGCCCCCGAGGGATGGCGAGGTCTAGCCTGGATCCGCGTATGGCCCCGTTTCGCTGCCCCCCCCCACCAGCAGCCGTCGAACGTGGCGTCATGGGGTGAGGGTCTCTAACCTGGATCCGGGTATGGCGTCACTGTGCTGGCCCCCAGCAGCCCTCGACATTGGCAGGGGTTTTGCAAATCGCAACCCCCGAGCATGGCGAGGTCGAACCTGAATCCGCGCATGGCCCCGTTGCGCTGGCCCCCCCGCAGCAGCTTTCGAACGTGGCGAGAGGTTGGCAGATCGCGCCCCCACCCCCCCCCCGAGGTGTGAGGGCGTCTAATCTGAACCCGCGCATGGCGCCACTACGCTGCCTCCTCACCCCACAACCCCAAGCAACCCTCGAACGCGGCGACCGTTTCGCAGATCACAGCCGCCCAGGGATGGCGAGATCTAACCTGAATCCGCGCATGGCGTCACTGTGCTGCGCCCCCCCCCAGCACCGCTCGAGCATGACGAAGTTCTCGCAG